TCTCTCCAATTTGATATCCAATTTTTCTTTATCTAAATCGTTTGACACCCTCATCACCTTACTCTCATCGACATTCACTTTCAACTTTCTACCTTTACACACCTTCCCGAACTCATCCACTAACCTTTGCAACTTTTCTTTAGAATCTCCCATAAGCACAGTATCATCAGCAAAAGGAAACTGTGTCAACTCCCATTTTGTACTTGATTTCTCATAATTTAATCCCACCCCTCTCCGCAACACCCTAGCATATACTTCTTTCACAACCCCATCTATAAATATATTAAACAACCATGGTAACATTACTTTTACCAGGAAGTAATCTCCCTCTCTCCTACACACCCTAACCTGAGCCTCACTATCCTCATAAAACTCTTTACAGAATCTACTAACTTACAACCTATTCCATACACTTGCAACATCTACCACACTGCTCCTCTATCCACTCTATCATATGCCTTTTCTAAATCCATAATTGCAATGAAAACTTCCCTACCTTTATCTAAATACTGTTCACATATATGCTTTAATGTAAACACTTGATCTACATATCCCCTACCCACTCTAAAGCCTCCTTGCTCATCTGCAATCCTACTCTCTGTCTTACCTCTAATTTTTTCAATAATAACTCTACCATACACTTTACCTGGTATACTCAGTGAACTTATTCCTCTATAATGTTTGCAAACTCTTTTGTCCCCCTTCCCTTTATATAAAGGAACTAAACATGCTCTCTGTCAATCCCTAGGGACCCTCCCCTCTTTCATACAATTATTAAACAAAAATACCAACCACTTCAACACTATATCCCCCCTGCTTTTAACATCTGTCATGATCCTGTCAGTTCCAGCTGCTTTACTGCCTTTCATTCTACGTAATGCCTAATGCACTTTCCCCACACTCACATCCTGCTCTGCTTCACTCTTAAAAGATGTGATACCTCCCTGGCCAGTGCATGAAATTACCACCTCCCTTACTTCATCGACATTTAAAAGTTCCTCAAAATATTCCCGCCATCTACACAATACCTCCAGCTCCCCATCTACTAACTCCCCTATTCTGTTTTTAAGTGACAAATCCATTCATTCCCTAGCCCTTTTTTAACTTGTTTATCTCACTCCAAAATTTTTTCTTATTTTCTGCAAAATTTCTTGACAGTGCCTCTCCCACTTTATCATCTGCTCTCCTTTTGCACTCTCTCACCACTTTCTTCACCTTCTTTTATTCTCCATAATGTGTGCAAAAGTAGAAAGTTGAAAGTGAACATAGAAAAGAGTAAGGTGATGAGAGTATCAAATGATTTAGATAAAGAAAAATTGGATATCAAATTGGTGAGGAGGAGTATGGAAGAAGTTAATGTTTTCAGATATTTGGGAGTTGACGTGTCAGTGGATGAATTTATGAAAAATGAGGTTAATCATGGAATTGAAGGAAAAAAGGTGAGTGGTGCACTGAGGTATATGTGAAGGCAAAAAATGTCATCTATGGAGGCAAAGAAGGGAATGCATGAAAGTATAGTAATACCAACACTCTTATATGGGTGTGAAGCTTGGGTTGTAAATGCTGCAACGAGGAGGCAGTTGGAGGCAGTGGAGATGTCCTGTCTAAGGGCAATGTGTGGTGTAAATATTATGCAGAAAATTCAGAGTGTGGAAATTAGGAGAAGGTGTGGAGTTAATAAAAGTATTAGTCAGATTGCTGAAGAGGGTTTGTTGAGGTGGTTTGGTCATTTAGAGAGAATGGATCAAAGTAGAATGACATAGAGAGCATATAAATCTGTAGGGAAAGGAAGGCGGGGTAGGGGTCGTCCTCGAAAAGGTTGGAGGGAGGGGGTAAAGGAGGTGTTGTGGGTGAGGGGTTTGGACTTCCAGCAAGCATGCGTGAGCGTGTTAGATAGGAGTGAATGGAGACAAATGGTATTTGGGACCTGATGATATATTGGAGTGTGAGCAGGGTAATGTTTAGTGAAGGGATTCAGGGAAAACGGTTATTTTATATAACCAGACTTGAGTCCTGGAAATGGGAAAGTACAATGCCTGCACTTTAAAGGAGGGGTTTGGGATACTGGCAGTTTTGAGAGATATGTTGTGTGTTTTTATACGTATATACTTCTAAACTGTTGTATTCTGGGCACCTCTGCAAAAACAGTGATTATGTGTGAGTGAGGTGAAAGTGTTGAATGATGATGAAAGTTTTTTCTTTTTGGGTATTTTCTTTCTCTTTGGGTCACCCTGCCTCGGTGGGAGACAGCCGACTTGTTGAAAAAAAAAAAAATATACTCTACTCTTCTTATAACACTTCTGCTTTGTAAAACTTTCTCATAAGCTACCTTTTTCTGTTTTATCACACCTTTTACATCATCATTCCACCAGTCACTCCTCTTTCCTCCTGCATCCACCCTCCTACAGCCACAAGCATCTGCCCCACATTCTAATACTGCATTTTTAAAGCTATCCCAACCCTTCCCTCCACTACTCATACTTGCATTAGCCCACCTTTCTGCCAATAGTTGCTTATATCTCACCCTAACTTCCTCCTCCCTTAGTTTATATACTTTCACCTGTCTCTTACTTGCTGTTGCCATTTTCCTTTTGTCCCATCTATCTCTTACTCTAACCGTAGCTACAACTAAATAATGATCCAATATATCCATTGCCCCTCTATAAACATGTATATCCTGAAGCCTTCCCATCAACCTTTTATCCACCAATACATAATTTAACAAACTACTTTCAGTACATGCTATATCCTACCTTGTATACTTATTTATTTTGTTGACAATTATATGTAGATGCTAGTACCAAGAATTTACTTCTCTGTTCATTCCCAATACTTAATAACTGTTCTTATCTTATCAATATGCATTCTCTTATAAATACTGCTACTTGAATGGCAAAGCATATCCACCTATGTTGATGATTTTGAGTTTAAAGGTTATGATGGCCCAGGGGGATAAATGAACCATAAAGTCAATGGCACAAGAGGAAAATGCACAAAAAAAAGGTACAATAACAGAATGTTCAAAGTCCATGCTATCCATGAGAAGCAAGAGGAAAGGTGCCTTACCATGAATAGGACTGAAGACCCATGGAGAACAGTCCCAGTCTCAGTGGAATGGGCACACAAAATACAAAGAGCTTCATTGTATCCAGCTATTAAGACATCAAGGAGCACACAAATCAACCATGTAGTCCAAAGTGCCCAAAATTAGAACCTGTGTACAGGTAACACCCATCACCCAATCAATAACACCCATCCTATAAGAACAGTCCTGCAAAGGACAGTACAAAACCAAACTCTGAAAAGTGGAGGGAGGTTACCAGACTTTCCTGCCAGACCCAAGGCAACCTCTCACTTGTTCAAATACAGTGAGGTGATCAAAGGAAGGGAGTAGACGAATCAGGCTGCCGTATCTTCCAACTTGTAGTCTTAAATGTCTATAAGGACACTGTGAAAAGCAGCTAAGAACTACATCCTTCATTAAGGACAGCTGTAATCACTTGGTATCAGGCACAGCACAATTTAACTTAAAATTATGAATACTGAAAGCTGATGATGCCTAATACATATAAAATGCCAAAACAAGATAAAAATCAATTTTCTGAAGCCCTTGCTATTTACTGGAAATTTCTGCTTATTATAAAGATTACAAAAGTTTCTATTGTACCTTAACCCTTTCAGGGTCCTCAGGCCCTCTCCCAGACTTGTTCTCAGGGTCGCCCAAATTTCAAAAAGAAAAAAAAAAAATTTTTTCTTATGAAAAGATAGAGAATCTTTTCCCGATCATAATGACACCAAAAGTATGAAATTTGATGGAAAACTTACGGAATTATGCTCTCGCAAAGTTAGCAGTCTTGACGATGTTTACACAGCGGGAATTTTGCCCAATTTGAGCCCTATTTTCAGCCAATTCCAGTGTACTAGTCGACAAAAATCGTAACTATTTCACTAGAACTCTATTTTTTTCTATCGAATGAGTACAAGAAACCACCCATTTACCGATTTCAATTATCCAGTACAGTGGTCAGAATTTAGCAATTTCGCCAATTTCACACAAATTTCAAAAGATGCCAATTTCCAAATAGGGTCCAGAATAAACAAGAAAGACATTCCTGGCACTAAAATAACATTTCCTCTGTTCATTAGTCACATCCCCATGCCCCTCTTACATTTCTTTTGCTTTCCACTTTGAATTTTTATTCTCACAAAAAATAGAAGATTTACTGTTATGCAGACTACTGCATTAGTGTAGAAATGGTATAAATAATATCGGCGCACTTGTGAAAGAATATCAGATTCACCATTTGATGTGTATTGGACGCTAAGCATGATTTGTTTACTTTTGAACTTTGGTAACAATCGAATATTTCTGCTACTTTGAGCTCAATTTTAAGGTACTTTTCATTGTAAAACTAGTCAAAATCATCTCAATTTTTGTAACATGTCTTCCATTCTATAAAATGAGACCAAGAAAACTAGAATACAACAATAAATACCATACGAAAATACAGTGCAAAGTCGCTGTTTTAATCCAAAAACAAGGTCAAAGTTTTTTTTTCTCATTACGCACTGTGTGCTGCAGGATTTTTTTTATACTGTGCACACTAACCACATAGACCCATTCTTTCATATGTAGGCCTACTAGCTTTCTCTCACTAGATGTGAGGGCGCTAGAATTTAGGCGTACTAGTACGTCAAAAACCCTGGTGCCTAAGCCGTACTAATACGTACGTCCGAAACCCTGAAAGGGTTAATAGTGACTATATAGGTAATTTCTAAGTAATAATAGCTACACTTTTAATCTTTGTTAATCTTTTGCTATTACACATATTGCTTTGGATTCGTATATAATGCTTGCTAAATAAAATTACAATACAGTTATTCATGATTTTACTAAGTTTTAGTATATCAAATATTCTTACACATCCTGACCGCAAATTAACTTTAACATTCAATGTAAAATTAACATAGATGAAGCAGTGGATAAAATGATACCTCACCTTCCACTTCTGTATCATCTATCTCAGGGTAAGTGTGAGGTGTTGTGCTTAAGACTGCAGCAATTCTTTTGCACCTTTGCTGGCAGAGATGTTTGGAATCAAATCTGAAAACAACAATATATGGATGTAATACATAAAGTACTCTAGAAAATTAATTAATGAATGAAATGACTGTATAAGTACAGTAGAACCTCAATATTCATTATTTTTTAACACATCAGCCATTTCCCACCAAGGCAGGGTGGCCCAAAAAAGAAAAACATTCATCATCATTCACTTCATCACTGTCTTGCCAGAGGCATGCTTACACTACAGTTATAAAACTGCAACATTAACACCCCTCCTTCAGAGTGCCAGCACAGTACAGAGGAACCTCTACTTACGAGTGCATCCATGTGTGAGTTTTTCCAGATACGAGCAGTTGCTCAGTCAATTTTTTGCTTCCAGACATGTGCGAAATTTCTAGATGCGAGCAGGCCTCAAGGGAGGTTCCTTGATGCTGGTGAGTGGCTCTTGCTCTTGATCTAGAGAACTGGATCTCAGTAGTTTTTTGGACTATCTTATTGGAACTTGGGCAATGTATGATGGAAAGATGCTTGACTCGACTCATGAAATCGTAATGACACAATTGTAAACAAACCATACCATGGGTGGGGTTTGAACCAGCGGTCAGAGAGCGGCTTTGAGGGGACTTGAGCTAGAGTTCGTCACGGCCATGCTAGCAGGAGATTCGTCTGTAAAAACTTCCATTTGTGGTCACAGTGGTGCCTATGCTAACTTTCCTATGGTGTAGAAATATACCTAGTTGGATGAATCTTATTGAAGCTAGCTGGCCAGTGGCTAACGTGATGGTCTGGAATTTTGAGACTCTCTGACTGCGGGTTCAAACCCCACCCATGGTATGGAAAGATGCTTCTTAGCATACACCAAAAATGAAAGAAATCGGACCATAAATAGCGGAGTTCACTTCTCAGCCATTAGCCTCCCCCTAGCGGTATATTTTTGTATGGTTTTTATGGCTGTATTCCCCTTTTTTTTTGTTTCAATTGATAGAATGGAAGATATACTACAGAAATAGACATTATTTTGATTGGTTTCCCCAATGAAAAGTACTTTGAAATTGAGCTCGAAGTAGCAGAAATGTTCGATTCTTTGGTGATGTTCAAGAGTAAACAAATGACGTCGCCGCCCAATAAATGTCCGACTGGCACTGCCCCTCAACCTTCATATATTGGAAAGCTCTTCAACACACTAGCAAAAGTGGGGGCAGGCATCATGAGGTGGCAGTGGCAGACAACATGAAGCAGCAAATGCAGACAACATGAAGCAGCAGTGGCAGACAACATGAAACAGCAGTGGCAGACAACATGAAGCAGCAGTGGCAGACATCATGAAGCAGTAGTGGCAGACATCATGAGGTAGTAGTGGCAGACAACATGAAGCAGCAAATGCAGACAACATGAAGAAGCAGTGACAGACAACATGAAGCAGCAGTGGCAGACAACATGAAGCAGCAGTGACAATGTGTAGCATTAAGAGTGTAGTAATTAAGTGTAGCATTAAGAGTGTAGCATTAAGAGTGTAGCACTTATAAGTCACTCTGTCTGACTTTATTGGGTTATCCTAGGTTCTCTACACATGTTGACAGGAGCAGGAATGGCCGCTGTGGTGGTCCTATAAACCCCAACAACAACAATGGCCACTGTCACCACCATAGCCACATACATAATGAAATGTATTTTATTCATTCTAGTGTACCTATCATGTTTCTACATTATTAGTATTGTTAATTATGTCATATTGCATGAATTATGATAGATAAATAAGCCGTAGAGTTGATATTAGGGAAATTATTGAAGTATTTTCTCGTGCCTGGAATTCCACTGGAATGAATTAATTCCATTTCAATTAATTTAAATGAGGAAAACAGACTGCAAATGAGCAAATCCAGATGTGAGCAAGGTCATGGAACGGATTAAATTTGTAAGCAGAGGTTCCACTGTACTTCCCATCTCCAGGAATCAAGTCCTGCCTGCCAGTCTCCTTGAATCCCTCCATAAATGTTACCTTGCTTACATTCCTACAGCAAGTCAAGTCCTAAAAACCATTTGTCTCCATTTGCTCCTATCTAACATGCTCATGCACACTTGCTGTTGCTGGAAGTCCAAGCCCCTCACACGCAAAACCACCTTTACTCCCTCCTTCCAACCTTTCCTAGGCCGACCCCTACCCCGCCTTCCTTTCACTACAGATTTATACACTCTTGAAGTCGTTCTATTTCATTCCATCCTCTCTACATGTCCAAACCATCTCAATAACCCCTCCTCAGCCCTCTGGATAATAGCTTTGGTAATCCCACACCTCAATATTCGTATGTCCCTATATTCGTATAGCTTGATATTTGCCTAGCTTTTTCGAGAAAAATTTGATGCAGTATTCAGACATTGCCCTGATATTTGACCTAAACAAAGCAGTCCATCTGGATGAAGTCTGATAAAAACAAAGCATCATGCAATCTCATCAGCTTTCGATCATTAAGCATTGTTCGTACAAGCTCCGTGAATTTTTTTATTTCATTGGTATTCTATGGTAATTTTTAAATATTTTCATTGAAAATAAGTAATCATGGCTCCAAAAAATGAGCAGTGATCAAAATAACCCTAAAAGAAAGGTGGCAAAATAACATTAAATTGAAAAAAAGAACTCTTGCCAAGTGGGAAAGTGGAACACATGCGTTGGATCTGGCCACTCAATATGGTATAGTGAAATCTACCATATCATCCATATTGAATAATAAAGAGGCAATACAAGGGGCTGATGTGGCAGAATGAGTGAAAATTCTTGCTGTGAAAAGGTCACAGATAACTGAAGAAATGGAAAAACTTTTGTTGGTGTGGATTATTGAAAAACAATTGGGTAGCGACAGTGTTTCTGAAACAACAATTTGTGAAGAAGCAAACCAGTTAAATAATGATCTTAGGCGAGACACACCGGTAAACAGTGCTGAAAGTGATGAAGTTTAGGCAAGTAAGGGCTGGTTTGATAGGTTTAAAAAGAGGAGTAGGATAACAGACAAAGCCTGGGGGAAAGTTTCTTTCTGGACAATGAACTCTGCCTGGAAAAAATTCTGGCCAGACTGTGTGTCAATCAGAGATTTTGAAGGCTTTGAGGCAGACCCTGCAGTAGAGGATATTGTTTCTCTGGGCCAGTCCATGGGTTTGGAAATGGACAATGAGGATGTAGAGGAGTTGGTGGAGGATCACAAGAATGAGCTCACCACAGAAGAACTTCACGACCTGCACAAGGAGCAGCAAGAAGTATTGAGGAAATTTCTTCTTCTTCAGAGGAGGGAAACAGTAAGGCAACATTTCCACTGCAGAAATTATGGAACTGTTACCACTGGGCTCAAACACAGAGAGCCTGGTGGAAAAACGGCATCTTAACATTACTGATGTGAATAGGAGTATCAACCTGCTCAATGACAATGTTGCTGACCACTTTAGAAAAAATTTGAAAAGTCGTCAAAAGCAGACAACACTGAGCATCTTCTTTAGCAAAGAAAAAAATCAAATGCTAGTGAATCCTGGGTAGCTAACCCTCTGGGGTTAAAAATCCAAACAAAATCTTGTGCTAATGCACAAAGGAAAGAGAAAAAAACACCAGATGGGCAGTTACCTGATATTTTTATGGAAGGTGACACCCTTTCCAAACAAAAACATCTCTCCACCTTCCGCTTAGACGTCTACATCAGAACTCCTCAGTAAAGGTAAAGTGCAGTTAAATTTTCATGTATTTCATGTATTTATTATTTGTATAGCTTTTGTGTATGATTTTATGCATGCAAATATTACCATACAGGTTTAAATAAGCAATATTTTCACTTAAAATGTTTTATAATTGGTAATTTTTTGGGGTCTGGAACAAATTAATCCAATTTACATTTTTCTTATGGGGAAAATTGATTCAACATTCGAACAACTCACTATTCGAACAGCCTCCTGGAACAAATTAAGTTCAAATATCGAGGTACCATTGTACTTTATCATTTCAAGTTAATAAAAAAAAGGAAATTTATACAATGTATGTATAGAAAATCCTCTTATAAAATTTAGAAATCTGTACAGGAGGGCCCCACTTTATGGCAGTTCGCTAATACAGACATTTCAAATTGCAACCAAAGATTTGTTTATATGGCTCCCTGATTTGGTTATGGCGTCTGCACACCACTCTGTTTACATCCTCCATGAGCTCCACCTTCATCAATTATGTCCAGAAACTTTCCAAAGTTTCAAGTGTTTTAAAGTTTTTTTTTTTTTAACACACCAGTTGTCTCCCACTGAAGCAGGGTGACCCAAAACAGAAAAAAACACTTTCACCATCATTCATACATAATCACTCTCTTTTCAGAGATGCCCAGATACGACAGTTCAGATGTCACATTCAAATGTCACGTTGAACAGCCAATATCCCAAATCCCTCCTTTAAAGTGCAGGCACTGTACTTTCCACCTCCAGGACTCAAGTCTGGCTAACTGGTTTCCCTGAATCCTTCACAATGTGAAGACACCTTGTACATAATGTGGGGGAAAACTTCACAAACATATGCATTATGCAAAATGAACACATATGAACTGCATTTGTCTGACTGCCCAACACCTGTTCATTCTCTGTGTTTATATTCTCGGCACCTCTCTTGTTTACTATGGCATCTAAGGGTAGTTGTAATAAAAAAGGCATTTAAAGTAAGAACTTTAAATGCCAAGTTAGAAATGATTAAAGTCAGTGAACAAAGTTTGCAAATGGCAATAAGCATAATACTAATACTAATATTACTACACCACAATGTACATGGTTATAAATGACCATAATTTTTAAAGGGGTGGACCGGTAAGCCAGTGGAAGGCCTCAGTCAGATGACCAAAGCTCCAAAGGCGGGTCATCATCTGACTAAGACCCGCATCAGGAAACACTTGTCCTGTTTCCTGACAAACCTTACCTAACCTAACTAATACTAATCACTCTGGGGGTACTTTAAATGTCATAAATTACAATATTATAGATATTTTCATTAATCCACCTTTAAACTCAGTGAGCACGGTATGTCAAAGGCAATACTACTCAACCTTCATCCTACAATAAGACTACAAATATTTTAAAGTCAGTAATGTGTGTACTGCATGTGAAATTAATTTTTTTAATGCTTTTTATACCTAGTTCTATTGCTAACTTAATACATGATAGCATAAATATGTTATTAGGCATTTATATATATTTAAAAGTAAAAAAAAAAAAATGGTGATTCACTTTACGGAGGTAACCTAGAACCTCACTCGCTGTATAAGTGGGGCCCTGCTGTATAGTGTGAATTTATCTAAACTCAAATTATACAGCACATGAAAATATTGACAGTACATCATCCCTCCCCACACACTTCAATGTCAATAAGCAATAACAACTAGAGTACAAGGTAAGATAAAGTGTAGTAATCTGTACCTAGTAGAATATTTAAAAAGCTGTTTGGCAAATTTTCAAGTCTCTGGAACATAACCCTAGTTTCCCATATGTTCTTTATTTAACACACTGATGATTTCTAGGAACATCCTCCCTCATGAGCGAATTTACTGTACATTTATAAAAGTGCTCATCTACCCCCTCATTCATTACAAGATGAATTACCTTTGTACTCGTATTACAATAGTATCCGCATCTTGATATAAATATAAGGAAAATTACATACAGCCTCTCTTCACTTAACAATGGAGTTCCGTTCTGTTGGTACACGAATTCATCATTAAGTGAGGAGCATACTATAATGGTAGTGGGTTTGTGTCAATCATTTTTTTTTTTTTCAACAAGTCGGCAGTCTCCCACCGAGGCAAGGTGACCCAGAGAGAAAGAAAATCCCCAAAAAGAAAATACTTTCACCATCATTCAACACTTTCACCTCACTCACACATAATCACTGTTTTTACAGAGGTGCGCAGAACACAACAGCTTAGAAGTATATACGTATAAAAATACACAATATATCTCTCCAAACCACCAATATCCCAAACCCCTCCTTTAGAGTGCAGGCATTGTACTTCCCATTTCCAGGACTTAAGCCCGGTTATATAAAATAACCGGATTCCCTGAATCCCTTCACTAAATATTACCCTGCTCACACTCCAACAGCTCGTCAGGTCCCAAATACCATCTGTCTCCATTCACTCCTATCTAACACGCTCATGCACGCTTGCTGGAAGTCCAAACCCCTCGCGCACAACACTTCCTTTACCCCCTCCCTCCAACCTTTTCGAGGACGACCCCTACCCCGCCTTCCTTTCCCTACAGATTTATACGCTCTCCATGTCATTCTACTTTAATCCATTCTCTCTAAATGACCAAACCATCTCAACAAACCCTCTTCAGCCCTCTGACTAATACTTTTATTAACTCCACACCTTCTCCTAATTTCCACACTCCGAATTTTCTGCATAATATTTACACCACACATTGCTCTTAGACAGGACATCTCCACTGCCTCCAACCGCCTCCCTGCTGCAGCATTTACAACCCAAGCTTCACACCCATATAAGAGTGTTGGTACTACTATACTTTCATACATTCCCTTCTTTGCCTCCATAGATAACATTTTTTGCCTCCACATATACCTCAATGCACCACTCACCTTTTTTTCTTCATCAATTCTATGATTGACCTCATCCTTCATAAATCCATCCGCTGACACGTCAACTCCCAAATATCTGAAAACATTCACTTCTTCCATACTCCTCCTCCCCAATTTGATATCCAATTTTTCTTCATCTAAATCATTTGATACTCTCATCACCTTACTCTTTTCTATGTTCACTTTCAACTTTCTACCTTTACACACATTCCCAAATTTGTCCACTAACCTTTGCAATTTTTCTTTAGAATCTAGCATAAGCACAGTATCATCAGCAAAAAGTAACTGTGTCACTTCCCATTTTGTATTTGATTCCCCATAATTTAATCCTACCCCTCTCCCAAACACCCAAGCATTTACTTCTTTTACAACCCCATCTATAAATATATTAAACAACCATGGTGCATTACACATCCCTGTCTAAGACCTACTTTTACCGGGAAGTAGTCTTCTTCTCTTCTTCACACCCTAACCTGAGCCTCACTATCCTCATAAAAACTCTTTCCAGCATTTAGTAACTTACTACCTATTCCATATACTTGCAACATCTGCCACATTGCTCCCCTATCCACTCTATCATATGCCTTTTCTAAATCCATAAATGCAATAAAAACTTCCCTACCTTTATCCAAATACTGCTCACATATATACTTCAATGTAAACACTTGATCTACACATCCCCTACCCACTCTGAAACCTCCTTGCTCATCTGCAATTCTACATTCTGTCTTACCTCTAATTCTTTCAATTATAACCCTACCGTACACTTTTCCTGGTATACTCAATAAACTTATTCCTTTATAATTTTTACAATCTCTTTTGTCCCCCTTCCCTTTACATAAAGGGACTATACACGCTCTCCGCCAATCCCTAGGTACCTTCCCCTCTTTCATACATTTATTAAACAAAAATACCAACCACTCCAACACTATGTCCCCCTCTGCTTTTAACATTTCTGTCATGATCCCATCAGTTCCAGCTGCTTTACCACCTTTCATTCTACGTAATGCCTCACTCACCTCCCCCACACTCACATCCGGCTCTTCTTCACTCCTAAAAGATGATATACCTCCCTGGTCAGTGCATGAAATTCCTGCCTCCCTTTCTTCGTCCACATTTAGAAGTTCCTCAAAATATTCTCGCCATCTACCCAAAACCTCCATCTCCCCATCTACTAACTCCCCTTCTCTGTTTTTAACTGATAAATCCATACTTTCCCTAGGCTTTCTTAACTTGTTTAACTCACTCCAAATTTTTTTCTTATTTTCATTAAAATTCCTTGACAGTACCTCTCCCACTTTATCATCTGCTCTCCTTTTGCACTCTCTCACCACTCTCTTCACCTTTCTTTTACTCTCCATATACTCTACTCTTCTTATAACACTTCTACTTTGTAAATGCCTCTCATAAGCTACATTTTTCTCTTTTATCACACCCGTTACTTCATCATTCCACCAATCACTCCTCTTTTCTCCTGCACCCACTCTCCTATAACCACAAACTTTTGCCCCACATTCTAATACTGCATTTTTAAAACTATTCCAACCCTCGTCAATCCCCCCAGTACTCATACCTGCACCAGTCCACTTTTCTGCCAATAGTTGCTTATATTTCACCTGTACTTCCTCCTCCCTTAGTTTATACACTTTCACCTCCCTGTTACTTGTTGTTGCCATTTTCCTCTTATCCCGTCTACCTCTTACTCTAACTGTAGCTACAACTAGATAATGATCCGATATATCAGTTGCCCGAGCCTACCCATCAACCTTTTATCTACCAATACATAATCTAACAAACTACTTTCATTACGTGCTACATCATACCCTGTATATTTATTTATCCTCTTTTTCATAAAATATGTATTACTTATTACCAAACCTCTTTCTACACATAGCTCAATTAAAGGCTCCCCATTTTCATTTACCCCTGGCACCCCAAATTTACCTACTACTCCCTCCACAACATTTTTTCCCACTTTAGCATTAAAATCCCCAACCACAATTACTCTCACACAAGGTTGAAAACTCCCCATGCAATTACTCAACATTTCCCAAAATCTCTCTCTCTCCTCTATACTTCTCTCTTCCACAGGTGCATAAACACTTACAATAACCCACTTCTCACATCCAACCTTTATTTTACTCCACATAATCCTTGAATTAATATACTTACAGTCCCTCTTTTCCTGCCATAGCTTATCCTTCAACATTATTGCTTCTCCTTCTTTAGCTCTAACTCTATTAGAAACCCCTGACCTAATCCCATTTATTCCTCTCCAATGAAACTCACCTACCCCCTTCAGCTTTGTTTCACTTAAAGCCATGATATCCACCTTCTTCTCATTCATAATATCCACAATCATCTCTTTCTTATCATTTGCACAACATCCACGCACATTCAGACTTCCCACTTTGGCAATTTTCTTCTTCTTATTCTTTTTAGTAATTTTTACAGGAAAAGGGGTTACTAGCCCACTGTTCCTGGCATTTTAGTTGACTTTTACAACACCCATGGCTTACAGAAGAAAGATTCTTATTCCACTTCCCCATGGATATAAAAGGAAAAGCAATTAGAACAAGAACTAAGATAAAATCAAAGAAAACTCAGATGAGTGTGTATAAATAAACGTGTACATGTATGTTTAGTGTGACCTAAGTGTAAGTAGAAATAGCAAGACATACCTGTAATCTTGCATATTTATGAGACAGGCAAAAGACACCAGCAATCCTACCATCATGTAAAACAATTACAGGCTTTCGTTTTACATTCACTTGGCAGAACGGTAGTACCTCCCTGGGTGGCTGCTGTCTACCAACCCACTACCTACTGTCAATCATATCTGAAATTATTTTAATGTCACCTCTGCACCATTTATAACATTTCTGCTATATTTTTAAATGTTTACACAGTAGTGTACTGCATACTGTATTAAAACAGAATTGAGGAAATCAGCTCTAATATACATTATTTACGTATACCTACTGGTCAGAGAGCCCATCATAAGTCCGAGTCATTGGTAAATGAGTACGTCGCTAAGTGAGAAGAGGCTGTATAGTAAGAGTAATAAAACACATGTAAATAGTACATATGTAAATATACATATTTAACAATATAGATATGGTAATTGCTACTATACAAAGAAAATCTGTATTATAACTGCAAACTTTTCTTTTTTTTCTAACATTTCTACCTTAAAACACATCACTAGAGCTATGTACTTTACTCTTCTTAATTTCACTGTTTAACATACACTAATTATAAATGATTACTTTGCTAACTTTTTCTTATACATATTTACAGTATCAATATATAGTACCTGTTTTTATTTCCTTGACAACCTCCGTAATCAAATTCATAACATTCATCTGAAGAGCCATCATAGTAGAACTGACGGAAACTTCCACTGCATGGCCCAATAACCAGCGGAAGCTGGCAAATATCTACAAGAAAATTAAAATCCATTGAAAATATTAAAATGAAAATAAATTTTTATGACAACAATGAAAAAAATCACGACTTTTTCATTATACCCACACATATGATACTTTAATGTATAATGCAATAACTGTTAAAACCAGAAGGAATAATTTTAAAAGATATGTGTTTTATTATCATGCACCTGATTTTGATATTAAAACATGTCATTAGCTCTTTACATTTTTTAAAATTGACTGTTTAGCCATTCAGCACTATGTCATCCAAATAGATCTCCATTTAGTATTCACCAAAATATCAATGGATAGGCACATTTCATTATGTGCAGAGTTTTGTGTCATGGCGAACTTTCCTCTATGTGGCTGTAAGCTGGTACAGTACAAAAATCCTTTATCCGAAATTCCAAAATCTGAAAGTTTCTCGAGTGTTGACATTACTCACCATAAATGGATCTCTCATTCTGTTGTCAGCAGCAATTACTCACTGACTGCCACATGTTTTGTGCTCTATGGGATGAAGATTTTGTTGAAAATGTCAAAAAGGCCTATGGGTCATAGTGAAAAGAAAAAGAGGAAGCATTTATGTCTATCTGTATCACAGAAAGTCAAGTTGTTGGAAAAACCTGACAGTGGTGTAAGTGTGAAGTATCTGACTGAATAGTTTGGCATTGGAACAACCATTATCTACCAACTAAAGAAACAGAAGGGCAAACTGTTGAAATTCTATGCTGAAAGTGATGAACAAAGGCTAGTGAAAATCAGAAAAGCACTGCATAGAAGGAAAAATGAAGTTCTTGATCGTGTACTGATAGAGCTGATTCGTCAGCATTGGAGTGAGCATATGTCTCTTAATAGAATGCTGATCGTGAAACAAGCAAAAATCTATCATGATGAACTGAATATTCAAATTAACTGTGAATATTCAGCAGGCTGGTTACAAAACTTTAAGAAAAGGCACAGCATTAAATATTTAAAGATTAGTGGTGATAAAGCATCTGCTGATCATGAAGCAGCAGAGAAATTCATTGATGTGCTTACCAAGATTGTTGCTGATGAAAATCTAACAGCATAACGAATCTACAATACTGATGAGATATCACTGTTCTGGCATTATTGCCCCAGAAAAACATTTACTACAGTTGATGAGAGAGCACCTACAGGAGTTAAGGATGCCAAGCACAGATTAACTGTGTTGGGATGTGCTAATGCAGCAGGCACGTATAAAGTAAACTTGCTGTGGTAGGCAAAAGCCTGCATCCTTGCTGTTTTAAAGGTGTTAATACCTTAACATTTCCTTATCCATTATGCTCACAAAAGGTCATGGATCACCAGGGACATCTTTTCTGATTGGTTTTGCAAACATTTTGTACCAACAGCTCATGCTCAGTGCAGGTAAGCAGGACTGGAAGCCAAGTGCAAGATTTCATTATTCCTTGACAACTGTTTTCTGCTCATCCTCCAGCTGAACCTCTCATCAAAGATAATGTTTATGGCATGTACTTTCCCCCAAATGTGGCTTCATTAATTCAGCCGTGTGACCAAGGCATCCTTAAAGGATCAATGAAGACTAAGTATAAAGACAATTTCTTGAACAGCATGATGGCAGCAGTGAAAAGAGGCGTGGGTGTAGGTGGCTTCTAGGCGTTTACTCTGAAAGTTGCCGTATATACAGCTGTCAATGAATGTTATCGTGTCATGCCTGTTAAGTGAGAAAAAGATGATTTCAGACCTATTTACATACACAAAAAGTGTACCTTCAGAGTTCATCAGTGACCTAGAGGAAGTGGATATTGAAGAAGTTCTTTACATCAATAATGACGCTACAGTTGTTCAATCAATGACCGATAATGAAATAACTGAAATGGTACTGAATTACGGCAATTTGGATGATAACAGTGATGATGAAAATGACATTATTAAGAGTAGAAAAGGTACCAATAGATAACATGGTGAATATGTGTGATAAACTTATTGAAGGATTAAAGCAGTGTACATTCATAACAAAACAAGAAATCATTTCAGTGTATAAAATCAAAGAGAGACTGCTATGACATAAACCATTGTTATTGAGGCAGATGGCACCGGAAGAAACATTAAAAAAAAAAAAAAAAAAAAGCCATGCAGCACAGTGCTTCCTCATCCCTAGAGTATCCCCATCCAGGTCCCTCAACTGTTTCTGATGTTCCTCCTCAAAGTGATGTCACTGATGATATACCCTCTCCCTCAAGTTTCTCAGACCTGGCCTAGTTGTAGTGTCTGGGTCTGCTTTTATCTTCTTTTTGTAAGCAGTGATCATTTTTTTTTTTTTTTGGTACAGTACCTGTACAGTACAATAATGTGTTGATACTTGGGTCCTATTCCCAAGGTGTCCCATTTTATAAATGCAAATATACAAATTTATTTATTTATTTTATTTATTAATTTGAACATAATACAGAGAAGTACAAGGAATACAATTTTTAAAGTGCAGCATGCCAAAGCCCCTTGTATGCAGAGCATTATGGGCAGGCTTAAAATTAACTTAAGATTAACTAAGCAATGATATATTCAGTGGTACAAAAATTATTGTAAAACAGATAACAATTTAGTACAAATGAGTATTACAAACACAGGTCATATGGTCATTTACTGTGTTGCTGTGTAATCAGTAGAATGGAGTATTCTGTTAGGTAATGAAGTTAAATAGTAACAAAGTTTGATTGGGTCACAGGTTGACATTTATGAGATACAATAATGAGATACATATATGAGATACAATTTATGAGATACAATTATTCAGTATTTATTTAGTTGTGGGTGAGTAAGTGATTTTTGAGAAGAGACTTGAATTTATAAACAGACAGTGTTTCTTTTATATTCACAGGTAATGAATTCCAGATTTTAGGGCCTTTTATGTGCATTGAGTTTTTGCATAGCGTGAGATGGACACGAGGAACATCAAAGAGTGATCTGTGCCTTGTGTTATGGTCATGTGTTCTGTTAAGGTTGGTAAGGAGATGTTTGAGGGGAGGGTTTATGTCAGAGTTAAGTGTTCTATGTATGTAGTAGGTGCAGTAATAATTATGGATGTTTTGTATTGTGAGTAGGTTTAGAGTTTTGAATATTGGTGGAGTGTGTTGTCTGTAGTGGGAATTTGTTATCATTCTGACTGCAGCCTTTTGTTGGGTGATTAGTGGTCTGAGATGGTTTATTGTTGTTGAGCCCCATGCACAAATTCCATAGGTGAGATAGGGGTAAATAAGTGAGTGATATAGGGCCAGGAGGGCTGACTGTGGAACATAGTACCGTATCTTCGATAGTATGCCTACGGTCTTGGAAATTTTTTGGGAAATTTGTTGTATATGTTGTATATTTGTTGTATATTCCAAAGTCTGAAAAAAATCCAAAATACTTCCAGTCCCAAGTACTTTGGATAAAGGATTCTGTACTGTATTGCTTTCATGATACATGCTGTACCCTGAACAATGATTGATTGTTAAAGATATTTCAACTTTTTGCCCAGCACTCCTATAGTTATCAGTAAAAGTTGAACACTGTGACATGTAGTTTGTAGGATATGTGAAAATATGTAAAGTATTCTGAAAGAAAAACTTTTATCATGTAAAATATTGCTGAAATATAAATCTGGGCATTTATTAAATTATTCTATGGGAAATGTGTATATTTCAGATGAATATATGGGAAAAAGGTGACTGAAAAATACGGTGGCATCTGTTTCATTCTGACTAAGAGACTGGCCATCTATTTTTGCCTACAACTGACAACTGAATGTCACTTAGCATTTTACCCCCCTAACTGTCCAGACATTAGATTTACGTGCATACCACTAGCGCTCCAAAACAAAGATCCAACGTTTTATTTTTCCTGCCTCCAAATTTGCATGATCTGGCCTGAGATGCCTGGTCAGTACAGAATGGGTCCTAACACTCGTGTACGCAGTATTAAAAAATCTGCGACACTTAGTATCTTGGGTGGGAGCACAACCAGTTCAACTGAGCGCCAGCTAAGAGCAAAGATCGTGCAAACACCAGGGAATTCACCAATCCCGATGTTGTATTAACACTCCTCTTTTAAGATGAAAGTGTGTTGACCTGAGTTTAGTGACTTTGAGATGGATATGACCACAAGTGGTAGGAAATATAAAAACCTTGATAATAACCATGCGCAACATTTGTGCAACATTCTTTCAATTCTTATACCACTGGTAGTGTGGAAAATTATTTTAATTTTCCGAAACTATAGTGCCTAATAGGTGTTTAATGGTCTAATATGGGTCCAAAAATGTATTTGAAAATAGAGTAGAACAAGAGTCCCTTTGCGCATGCGCGGATGTGCGGGGTGGTTTGGGGCGCTCGTGCCATGGGGTGGGGGAGTGTTTTTTGAATGGGTGAGGAGGCAGAGAAACCGGAAGAGAGGAAACTGGGCGTTCACGGGGGCCCTAAGATCAATATAGGCCTCAATTTCATAAAGGAATGTCGTGACTGCCTAGTGAAGAGTGAGGGAACGTGATTTACACCGGACCATGAAAAGGGTGGGTAAAATTAGTATAGGAATAATGTTCGACACGGGTGCAGGTGCACGGCAGGTGTGTGTCCAGGGGAAATACCCGTGTGTTAATCCTCGCTCAATCGGCCTCAGATCATGAATGTAGTGACCTCTAATTTTTATAATATTTATGAGACGTTTAAATCGTCTTGTGAATGGTAATGTAATCATGATAATAACATTGATTAAGAGAAGGGGATGTGAAATAGGCACCCTGCTCCGAGTGAAACGTGTTACCTCGTACCGGGGATAATGAGATTTTATGGAATCACGACTTCTAAAACCGGGACAAACGCGACGGATGACCTCGTCCTGTATTGGAATTGAAACCGTGTCGTGTAACAGGACATCGAAATGAGATGGTGAATAGGAGGAAATTAGGGTATTCAATCACCCACAGTTAAGTTAAGTAACCCTTCTAGTTATAACAGACCAATGCTGGCCCAGTTAGGTTTATGTTG